TGGGTGTCTTATTGTACAGTGGCATTAAGTGCTGTATGTAATGTGCACCTCGCCTATCCCTTCGGGGATAAAAGGCGTGATGTTATAATTATGTAGCTTTTACCCACACCTCTGCCCGCGTATTCCTATTCTAACCCATGGGAGTAGTTAATCGGGATAAAAAGTATTCTATCACCTAAGTCAGCCCATATCCTGCTTGTGTCCCTATACCAAATTTCATCAAATTCCGTTCAGTAGTTTCAGCGTGATTGCACACAAACATCTAAACAAAGAAACTGTGAACATCTTCCTTTACTCTGGCGTCTTTAATAAGTTCACCCTCAATAAGCCTCAATTACACGCGATTTGTTTCGTGCACCATTTAGTTCTTCGAGGATCTAGAAACCTTGGCGTGAACAGCATCACAGCTCTCTAAGTAATACCTACGCTTCATATGCATTACTTACAGTAATGACAGGTCCCTCAAAGGTCAAGTGGTCGCAAGCGCGACTGCGGACCGAGAGATCTCGGATTCCATTCCCAGATCGAGCAAAGAATTGAAATGAAATGGTGCGTCCAAATGTGTGTGTATCTTTTGGTATGGTATGTAATAGCAGACTATATAGTAAAATATGTTTGTATGTAATTTGTATTGAGATATGCTTTTGTAGATAGACGAAAACAACAGTTGAGTTAAAAACTAATACATAATAATAACTTATGAAAGTTACATGATGTTTTAATAGTAAAACGCTAGAGTATGTAGGTATCGTATGTATGTACGTAGGTACATTACATATGTGTTCAACTTTTCATCTAATATAATTAAAAAGTTAGTAATTTAAAATATTGTTCGAAATTGTACGAATTTGTGTTATTTGATGTAGGTAGAATTGGTCTTAATATTTTGTGTAAATAACTGAAAATGACATAATTATATTCGAGTAAAAAATAAAAGAGGGAAAATAAAATACAAGTTTGCAATAAAATATTTAATTACTGGGACCAGCAAATTGTTTTACAATTATGCGCTAAACATGATTCACTTTATTTGACGCAAACTCTTTGACAGGGCTTTTCGAGTTCTCTCTGTAAGCCACCCCCGCCACCTGGGGCGACGGTTCAGCGTAACTACTGGACAACGTTCCACGAACAACATTGGGAGAACATCTCAGTAGGAGCGGGATAGCATCAGTATTTACTGCACTTTTTGGGTAGATCGCCATCGCAGCGCCTTCACCGAGCGAAGCGGAGTGCGGTGACCCGGAGTAGTAGGCCGGCGAGATCTCAGCGCTGCGCGTGAACGGAACAGGCATCGTCGGCAGAAGGTTTTGCATCATCGCTTGATGGGCCAAATCTTCCATAAAATCACGTTTCAATCGAGAGTTAGGCATCATCATTCCTGAGTTTTCAGGATTTAGTACATCAATGTCATATCCACCGCGAGTGGTCAATGACGGCATTGTTTCACGGATTTCAGTTTCCAACACCGGAGCCATATTGTTCGCGGGAGGCATGGGCATGGGGTTCAAAGCTGCCGATAAACTTGTATGCACCATCGGGTATAGATCAACTTCATATGGATTTACGTCTGTGTTCATCGAACCTGTATTTAGTACTTGGTAAGCTTGATTGTTGCTCATATCGGTGTCGTAGGATGTTCGCAGGTAGTCATTGTTCCACTCGACCGGTGATGAAAGTTTTCGGTTCATCAATTCGTACTCCAAGGGCAACGCTGCTTGAATTCCGTGCTCGAAATATGATGTATGCGGCAATGGGTTCAACACAGTCAGGTCACCTGATGTAGGTAATCTAATGATGCTAGGGGTATCTGAGTATGTCCTTGCGTCATTTGAATTTAAATTGGCTTCCAGAGGTCTCAGGAACAAAGATTCAGGTACAGGCTTCGGCATCAGGTTTCGTGTAACCCTAACCATGTTGTCATAATAGGCACCACCATAGTTGTAATATGGATTATCGTAAATTGGTGAAGTGAGAGTTAAGCCGAAGCTCGCGCTAATTATGACACACACACTAAGCATCGTGCTTAACCACTGAACAATATTCTCTGACTGAAACAAATATGGATATGTGATAAATACGGCGCAATGAACTAAGTCAACAATTCGAAATCAGCAATAAATACTTCGCAGTTGAATATACGGTTTCATTTTACGTTTGTAATGAATTTAGAATTTAGTTCAAATTGATGTTGCAATATTTTCATTTAAAATCATATTTAACTAGTACTTTGCCGTGACTTTACTCTTAATTTTTTTATTTTACACAAACACATTAAGATAAAAATAAGAACTTCAGTTAGTTCAACTAAAGATTAATCACACGTAAATAATACAAGAAAGTTTAAGAAAATGCTTTATTATTTTTGTGATGTTTTACAAAACATGTTTACAAAATTAAATTAAAAATAAATAAGTATAAAAAAGCTCAGTAGTCAATGGTCGATATGATACAAGTTAAAGTTACTTTACGCTTTGTTTTCTAAGGTCATGGGAGTGTTCTGTTTTAAAGTAGTAGTCATTTTTCTCATGGTGTTGGTGGTCCTCATGTCGTTCATGTTGATACCACGTTTGGTGAGGAAGTTGAAGTCATCTTCCGTTCTGTAGGACGGGGCGCTGTAGGATGAAGGGCCAGCCGAATGGGCCTTCGCCAAGCTGCCTGACACCACGGAAGGCGAGCAACTCAATAGCAGAGGAATACCACAACCTCCAACGTTTGCATTAGGGAAAACACCAACGGCGCCAGATGGACTTATCGAACTTGATAAACCAGGTCCGTAAGCTGTTCTAGCAGATTCATGGGTAGGCTGCCAGTGGAATGTGTGTTCTGATTCAAAACCTTCCATAGCGTCTCTCATATGAGGAAGGAAATGAGGATGCATAGCGCTACCCATACCGGTCATCTCGTGCATATGTTGGTGAGCCATTGAGTTCTGGTGATATCTTGCAGGGAAATGAGAATGGTGGTGACTATGACTCAAATCAGAGATATGAGAGCTACCCATCTTGCTTGGCATGTGGCTATGTTCTGGCAAGTAAGAGTTTCTAAAGTGGTCCATAGTACTCTCGGGGATGAAACCTTGTTCTTGTTCTAGGTGAGTATTCTCAAATTGATCAAAATCTTCAGCAGCTTTCATTGAAGGCAGATGTTCAACATTTCTGTGTCTCTGAGGCCAAACGATAGTCTTCTGGTTTTGTAGACGATGATCGTCTGCAGCTGCTGCTCTCATTGCATGTAAAGCCTCCATCTGATTCAATTCCTCACGTTGCATCCACTGTTGCCTTAGCTGATCTTGAATAAACTTTTCGCGATCAGCATGTTCATTGTCTCTCATTAGAAAATGAGTGTTTTCCAAGGTCTCCGTAGATTTGGGGATGGTATCAAAATGTTTAATTTCATTGAAAGGAATGGGAAGAGCTTCCTTTGATTTCAAATCCCAAGTTTCATTCAATTCTTTCTGTTCAGGATTTAAATCCTCAGCGTCCTTAGCCACTACGTGTTCGCTGTGAATATCTTCCTTAATCATCTTTGGTTCATCGGTGTTGAGTGCTGATCTTAGAATAAATTCGCTGATATCCACAGAATCCGTTTTTTGTAGATTCCCTTGCTGATTTTGAATCTCAGTGACATTTTCGTTCAGTCCTACGGTTCTTTGCTGTTCAGTGACTGGGACTAAAGTCAGAGGTTTCGTATTGTCATCATCACTGACAAAATCAGTAGGAAGACTTTCTAATGTTTCCATATTAAGTTCAGCACTTTTTTCCTGGATGGGGTGGTCTTCTATCTGTTGCAAATTCATTAAATTGTTATTCTCGACAACCGTTTTAGGATCTTCTAATTCCAATTCAGCACTTTTTGCGTTTTCAGTAATTTTATGACTCTCGCTTTTTAGAGATTCGTGATGTTTTTTGTTATCTAAATGAACTTCGATCATTTCTGACGGGGAGAAATTCATATCATCATCAGCGTTTTGTGTCATCCTTGCAATTTGTTCAGTCATTGTATTTTCCAATGTTTGTTTCTCCTGTGTTGTTCTTTCCTGATTATGAACTTCTAAATTTTCATCATTTGTAAGACGTAATTTATCGGTTTCAGGTAAAAGTGCGGTTTCTCCCATCTTGAAGTTTATTGTAGGGGCAGCATTTGATTGGTCTAAGTGTACCAGGTTTTCCTGGTGGTTAGCAGTTTTAAAACTGTCCTCAATATTTCTAGCTATTTCAACATTCTTTTGAATGTTTTCAAGGGCTTCTTTCCATTGAGCCATTCGCTCTTCTTCCGTTTTTGCAATAGTAAGATGGACATCATGCATATCTTCTGAGTTCCTTGTTGTCGTTGCACGCAAACTCATGGTGTCTAAGTTTTCAAAGTTATCGTGAATGTGTTTCAGGGCTTGTCTAGCTACTTCAATATCTTCATGAAGTTCTATGTCAGATTGAGAATTATGAGCAGTTTTCATTTCAGTCTTCATCTCCATTTTCTTCAGATCTCTTTGCAAATTTTCTACAGCTTCCTTCGCCATCTTAATGCTGTGTTTCACGTCATCATCCGATGAATGAACTTCGACATTTCCTTCAGTAGATCCCATCGTAGCTCTGTATTTTTCATTTTCGTTGCATAATTTCACCTTGACTTGTGTTCCGCATGTCTCGTCGGAGTCAGCCTGCGCTTTTTCTTCCTCAGAATCACGAAATAGTTTATATTCATATTTTTTCTTCACAATCAATGGCTTCTTCAAAAGGAAACTTCTTGCCATGGGCATCGATAGACCATCGTTAGTTAACTGCACGTTTTGAAAGTCGGTGTTTGGGGCTCCGTTGTGCAGATGTGTGGTGGGTGCGATTTCGGATGGGGTCCTTTCTTTAGTTAGATCGTCAATTAAACTTGTTTGTGCTTGAAGGGCCCCGTTTAGAGTAGTATCCATGCTCTCAGTGCCATCTTCAGGCAGCGTAGGAGCCGCGATGGCTAAAGATACCAGAGCTGATACCACTACTAGTGTCTTCATCGTGTTGGATGTCACGATTGATGCTGGGTACAAATTGCTCCGATTATTTATACTAAATCTATATCGAAGATTTATTCATATGATTGTAATGAAAGAAAACAAAACGTGCTTATAGCCGTTGACTCACAAATGCTGAGCCGACACCTTCCGCGTTAAAATATTTACGTAAAACACGAATGAGATTATAATAGAAAACTAGCAATTTTACTATATGAGGGTGACCCATATTACTACTTAGTTATTCCCTGTAATCCAGATTGTAGTTCAGTGAACTTCCGTGGGTTGCTGATATTGTTTTTTTAAGAATCTTGTACGTCTATAAAAACATTAACTTTTCAATACGATTACTCGAATATAAAAGTGTAAATGATGACGGGCAAACATGTATAGGAAATGGGAAATGAAAACAAAAGAAATCTATAAATATAAAAACGAATCCCTTTTTCCTTTGGTCAAGGATCACGCGAGAATGGCTGGACCGATTTCACTAATTCTTTTTGTTGTATTTATTATTATTAGGAGAAGGTTCTTAAGATATAATAAATTCTGAGAATCCTACGGGAACGGGAGAAAACGGGATTGCGCATACGATCTCGCGCGAAAACTTTATAATCTCCTTCAGGGAATAAAATGTGTGATGTTATATATGTATGTATATATTTATTTAAAAAAAATACTATAAAATATTTGTGTCATCATTAACATATTATTAGAGCTCCTGTCGCCTGCAACACAGGAATATTGCAAGTATAGGCATATTAATTTGTAAGATCTTGTCGCTTAATTAAGATATTTTTATACCTAGGTCGGCCATTGTTATTATGAATAAAGATTATTGTTGTTATATATCTATTATTAATATTAATTGTTTTTTGCATCATATTTCTCGTAAAATGGACCATTATGTAAAGAAAACATTAAATAAAAGACAATACCAAAACTGTATGGATTAAAACACAATTTATATGTGTAACAAAGTAGAGTACATAGTATAACCCAAATCATTGTTTTATTTGTTTATTTATTAGTAGGCTAGTTAATTAAAATATAAAGCACAACATATAATATAAGAACCAATCAATCATTAAAATAAGAAAAAAAATGTCATAAACACAAAACAATACAATACAAATAAATAATGTCAAATAGATATTTGTAATACATGTCAAAATCTGCCTCGTTGGCCGAGTGGTCGCAAGTGCGACTACCGGGCAAGGGGTCTCGGGTTCGATTCGCGGGTCGGGCAAAGTATTACTGTGTTTTTTTTAATCTCATTAGTAGCACTGAGTCTGGAAATGTGCCCGGTATATGGCAATAGGCTCATCCCCTATTACATGGAACTCATAACATAAATAGTGAAAAGTGGGTGTTACTTCTGTGTGCACCTCTGCCTACCCCTTCGGGGATAAAAGGGGTGATGTTATGTTATGTAGTCAATATACATAAAATCTAGGATATTACAAAGTAAAATCTAGAAATAAAAAAGAATCATGATCTCATATATCTCAACAATATAAAACTGTAAAAAGCATTTCAATATTTAAGAAGTAACAAATCACATTTAGGAACATTGAGTCACACATTTAGGTCAAAAGTTTTCGATGAAACCATCATCAAGTAATAAAAACATTACCAGTTGAACATGGCCTCGTTTTGTATAATCGTTCCGCAGATTTAACAGTCAGTTTATATTGGTTTTTTGAACAAAATCACATCGTGATATGATCATCTTGGAAAATCTTGGTTTGGGGGTTTGCTTGTTATTTTCCTAAATGCAATTGTTATCTGTATTAACTATAAATCGCGGGTTACTTTTTTATAGAATAAGAGGCAAACGAGCAGACGGATCACCTGATGGTAAACGATCAGCGCCACCCATGGACACCCGCAACACTAGAGAAGTCACAGGTGCATTGAATATACTGAGAAAAGCTCTACTAGTTTTGAACCACAGAGGTTTCTCTATATTCTTTATGTCTGTATTTTTCATCGCTTTCATTACAATTGGAACAAACACAGATCGAAAAGAAAATAGCTTTTATTCAAGCGCCCATACAAATTTGTAATATTCTGCAGGCTCCTGGCCTGGTTATGGTTTCGATCAAAACAAACAACTTATTTCTTACCTTTTACATAAGTAATAGACCAAAGCAAAGCTCGACTTGCTGTAATGCAGTGTGTATTGACACCAACGCTTATGTATGGTAGTGAATCATGGGTGTGGCAGAAGAAGCATGAAAGCAGGATTAATGCGGTGGAAATGAGAGCCCTAAGAAGTATGTGTGGACTAAAATTGAGTGATCGAGTGAAAAATAGTGTTATTAGAGAAAGGTGTGGATTGAAAGATGATGTAGTGACAAGGATTGAAAAGGGAATGTTACGCTGGTTTGGACATGTAGAAAGGATGGATGAAAGTAGAGTAACGAAAGAAGTATACAGAGCGGATATGAATGGGGCCGTCGGTAGAGGGCGCCCTAGACGGACATATAGTGACCAGATTGGCGATATATTAAAGAAGGGCCAAATTAAAAGTACCCTTAACCGACGAGCATGCATGAAAAGATTGATGACTGTTAATGAAGGGAAAGAGGTATGTAAGAATCGTAGTAATTGGCGTTCCTTAGTCTCTGCCTACCCCCATGGGAGACAGGCGTGAAGTTATGTATGTATGTATGTAATAGACCAATAGAGTCTATTATATTGTCCATTACTGATTTTAATCGTATCTAGTATTTTTTTGGATATTTGCATTATTATTTGGATATTTTTGATACACGGGAGCCCAGAATTGTCCCGATGTGTGGTAATAGTCTTACCTCACCCTTTATTGCATAGGAATCATCATATAACTGTTATGAGTCCTATGTGAAATGAATATAATACTTTTGCCTGATCTAGGAATTGATCCCAAGAACGCCTGCTCCGCATCTGTGCTTGCACGAGCATTGAAGCAGTGTCTGGTCTTGCCAAAATTACTTTTCTTCGGTTTTAGTTATTCCTGTTACATTAAAATAGATAATTTAAATAGAAAAGTAATTTTAACGTAATAAAGTAACGTAGATATATTAACACCTACTAATTTAACTTAGTTTAGCTTTCAAGTAAAATCTTTTTTTTAAACTTTGCCCCACACTAGGATTTTCTTCTGTGTCGTGGGTGCGTTTACAAACATACAAGTTCACGTACACATCACACCTAGCCCCGGAACAAATCTCTGGATCACACAAAGTGGTTCCGTGCGGGAAACGACCCCGTGACACGTTGCTTGGCAGCCGGATACCCAGCCATCGCACCAGCCGTGCAGTCATTCAAATCCAATTACAGTGTTCACCAATTAGGCTTACTTTATTTATTATTTAAAGTATTAACTTGCATCATTGAACAAATAGTTTTAACTGCAATTGTCGAACAATAGCTATGGCCGGTATTTTTTTTAATTCCTATCACGTGGTTTGATAATAGATTGGTATTTTACTTTTTTATACTAATCTAACAACTAATATCCTCATAACTCCTATTGCATTATACTCGTAAAGTAACTGACGAAACGACGTTACATATTGATAAATAACTTCATTTACAAATACTAAGTTTACTAGACTGCCTCGTTAGCCGAGTGGTCGCAAGTGTGACTGCCGGGCAAGGGGTCTTGGGTTCGAAACCCTGGTCAAGTGTAGTACAACTAGGTTTTAAAAAAAATAGTAGGTGGCACGGAGTCTGGAATTGTGCCCGGCAGTAATAGGCTCACCCCCTATTACATTGGACTCATTACATAATTAGTGAAAAGTGGGTGCTACATTGTACAGTGGTATTAAGTGGAATTAAGTAGACAATGTGCACCTCTGCGTATCCCTTCGGGGATAAAAGGCGTGATGTTATGTTATGTAAGTTTATTAGATTTATACATGTCATATTTTGATAACTACATGCAAGGAATAAAAATGCAGGTTTCACGAATCGTACTATTATTATAGATACGAAAGTTTATGAGGATGTATGTGTGTGTGTTTGAGCGTGTGTGTGTGTTTGTTACCGTTTTACATCAACACTACTGAAGGGATCGAGATGTGGAACAGGGGTACATTATGGTTTGGATTACCACATAGGCCACTTTTTATCCTACAGAACCGCGGGCAAAGCCGCAGGCAGCAATTATATTATATAAATGTCAGTTATCTTTGTAGGCATGCTAAGTATGAAATCTTTATCATCCATCAAATATATAGAAGGAAAACTTAAAACAATACTTGTCATTCATACACAAATCCTATAAATTTTGTAAAATTGATTACTATCGCCAACTTGGAGTGACGTCAATAAGTGCATATCTACACATAAACATACGTGTATAGTAATAATATAATTTATGATCCCGTAATTGACATTATCAGGCTCAGCATTATTTAATAATGTCATTCGAAACATTCTTGCCCACGTACAGCGCTGTTGGCAACTTTTGTTTAATCATTTTAAACTGTGTATGGAGCGCTGACTTCACTTGTTTCATTTTTAAATTGCAATCAACTAATTACATGCTATTTATTTATTTATTTGTGTACACATATATAAGACTAAGGACAATACATAACATCACGCTTTTTATCCCTGAAGGGGTAGGCAGAGGTGCACATTATGCCACTATACAATGTAACACCCACTTTTCACTATTTATGTTATGAGTCCCATGTAATAGAGGGTGAGCCTATTGCCATATACCGGGCACAATTCCAGAGCTACTACTGAGATTTTTTTTAAAACCTAGTAATACTTTGCCCGACTTGGGAATCGAACCCGAGACCCATCGCCCGGCAGTCGCACTTGCTACCACTCGGCCAACGAGGCAAACTAAGGACAATACATATATAAAAACAAGGTACACAGGTCCCACATATTCCAACTGGAATGTCTTCCTGTGGTCCTGTGGCAGGAAAAGAAATAAATAACGACATCAAGACAGCGTGTTACACAAATAAGATAAGAAAAATTAAAAACAAACAAATTAATTGT